TTTTATTTATCAAGGCTTTTAAATTTATTTCTTGCATCCCAACCTGCTTGAATTTTCCAGTTTTATAGACCCATGTACCTCAAAACTTCTCTGTTTTCAAACACTCCATTAGAATTCCTTCCACTCCCTAATGCACTCTTTTTAGATCTGAGACTCCGTAAATCCATGGAAGGAAGACATTTCCATGCACTCTTAATGTATATATTCCCCTGTGGACTATATCTTACTGTATATTTATATATCATATTGAGGTCATTGGGAATTTTTTTCTCTGCTCAGTTAATTAATGCCTACTACTTCCATAGAATATAAGAGTCACTTTGTATATAAACTATTGAATATGCTACCGAATGCAAAATCCTTTAATGTGCAAAGGGTCAGTTAGCAAAAACATTTTTTTTTTTAAATTTGGGTAAAGTTAAATTTTAACAAAAAGTTGAGTATATGAAATATTGGAACTTGAAAAGCTCAGAAACATTGTCCACAAAGACAGAGCACCATTTATTAACACAAGAAAAATAATAAAACATGACATATGGAGATTTTAAAAATTTTCTTATGATCATACCTTAATACAGAATAAATGCCCATTTTACTAAATAACTTAGATAATACAATTTTGTATCTTGCATATCATGGGATACAATTCTGCAAAACAACCACTTTAAATAAATATGTATTTTTATAGATAGTAAAATTATTTAAAACTACTCTTGCTTGTAAGTTTTTTCAGGGCCTCTTTAACATTCTTGTTGCGCATGCTATAAATCAGGGGGTTTAAAATGGGAAAGAAAAGTGTGTAGAAGAGTGACCTCCATTTTATGTTGATCTAAAGACTATGAAGAACTTCTCCAGAAATACGTAAAGGGTATAGTGCCTTGGAAAACTGCAACTGCAGTTATGTGGGCGTCACAATTGGACAAAGCTTTGAGCTTCCCCTCAGCAGAGCAAATCTTCCAAGAATGATGAGATGACGTAGCCATAAGAGACAAGGATTTCAGAAATGGTACTGAGTTCAATAAATCCCCAAAGGACAAATAGTACCAGCTCATTGATTTGCATGTCAGAACAGGAAAGGAAGAAAAGTGAAGGGAAATCACAGAAGAAATGATTAATCTCCTTAGATCCACAGAAACATAAGCGCGATGTTAATGTAGTGTGTATCAAAGCATCTGTCAGGCCTACAAGGTAAACGCCAGCCATGAGCAGTGAACACACCTTAGTGGACATGTCTACTGCATATTGCAATGGGTTGCTGATGGCTTTATACCTATCAAAGGCCATCACTGCCAGCAACAGACATTCAGAATCAGCAAAGATACAGAAGGTCAAGAACTGCAGAGCACATGCAAAGAATGGAACTGATTTGTTCTTGTCAAATATGTCGACCAGCATCTTGGGTCCAACTGCTGTGGAATAGCAGAGGTCACAGAAAGAGAGG